GGTCTGGGTCCAGGTCTGGGTCTGGGTCTGGGTCTGGGTCTGGGTCCAGTTCCAGCTGAGGAGGACGGAGATCAGAACCAGTCCTTTCCCCCGAGGGGGCGGGGCTTCCGGTTCTGGGTTTCCTCGCTGGTGTCTCGTTGGTGGGCGGGGCGTTTGGGGGCGGGGCGTTTGGGGGCGGGGCGTTTAGGGGCGGGGCGTTTGGGGGCGGGGCTTGTTCGGGCCATCGCAGGAAGGCGGCGAGCAGAGGCAGAAGAAGAAGAGAGCTCAGCCCCACGCCCAAATACAGCGACCGGAAAAGGCCTGCGGACAGAAAAGCACCCAACCTCTGAACAAATAGGAAGAAACAACCCGGAAACAAGTCCGACTAAAGTCTAACACTAACACATCTAACACTCTAACAAACTCTATAGATATCTATAGAGATATCTAACAATCTAACAATCTCCATAGATATCTATAGAGATATCTAACAATCTAACAATCTAGCAACCTCTATATATATCTATAGAGATATCTAAATATCTAACAATCTCCATAAATATCTATAGAGATATCTAACAATCCAACAATCTAGCAATCTCTATAGATATCTATAGATATCTATAGATCTTTATATCTATAGATATCTATAGAGATATCTAACAGTCTAGCAATCTCTATACATATCTATAGAGATATCTAACAATCTAACAATCTAACAATCTCTATAGATATCTATAGAGATATCTAACAATCTAACAATCTAGCAATATCTATGGATATCTATAGATATCTATAGAGATATCTAACAATCTAGCAATCTCTATAGATATCTATAGAGATATCTAACAATCTAACAATCTAGCAATCTCTATGGATATCTATAGATATCTATAGAGATATCTAACAATCTATCGATATCTATAGATATCTACAGATATCTGACAGTATATGGGGATCCATGAGGATTTCTTTGGGAAGAGTCCGACCCACCTCCGGCCCCCTGAGCTGCTTCGGTTTGGATGCACTTTGGGGCCGACTTCGGGGAGGCGGCCATCAGGAAAGTGGGGAAGGAGAAGTTGGCCACGGCGCAGTAGTTCCTACCCACCGAGAACCCGAGGAACTGAACCCTGGACTCCTCCTCCTGGGTCCAGACGGTACGGCTCTGCCCGAAACAGACCCAAACCGCTGTTAAATCAGGTTTATACGCCTTACAGACCCAGAAGACGCTTCTCACCTATAAAAAAAACATGAAAAAACATGAAAAAACTGTATTTTTATCCCTAAAAAACTCACTCCAACAGACTTTTTATCTCTAATTTCAGAATGGTTTTAAAGTTTTTGTAGTTGGAGATGGGTGTTTCAGGCCCTGTTTGAAGGTTTTTACATCTGAATCACTGCTTTGATCTCTTAAATAAGGAATTATTTCATTATTAATATTTGGTTATAATGAATCTAAAACACTTCTGTAGATCACAGACTTGAAGTTGCAGTTAATTAGTGCTATAGTAATAGATGCATAGTAATAAATTATTAATACTAAAAATGTATTGTAGGTTTTTTCTTTTTACATATTTTGTTAAAAGGCCAAATAAGGAATTCAAACACAAAAAAATGTTATTTTCTGATTTGTTTTATTCTTCAGGTGTATCTGATTGTGTACAATAGGATTTTGAGCAAAGTTTTTACCATTAAATTATGCAAAAGGTGTCAAAACATTTCAGAAATTTGGCATTATAGGGTTAACTATAATGTTTGCTGTTTTTAGGGCTAGTTTTGGGGCCTATGTCGGAGTTTCTTACCTGGTTTTCGGAGTTGTCCAGGCCGTTGAAGACGGTGACGGTGGTCCAGGGGTCGATGAGGGCGGACACTGGGCAGCAGCCCCCGGAGCACCTCCTGCTGGCGGCGCAGGGGAACTGCACCCGCACCCACAGCCCGCCACCCTCCCACCACACGGACACCGCCGGGGGGCTGAAGGCTGGGGGGGGGTTAGGGTTAGGGTTAGGGTTAGGGTTAGTCTGTAGGAGCCTCGGACAGATGTCCGACTCCGCCCACATCCAAATCGGCCATTTTGATTAGGGCGTGTGACTAGCAGCTTTCTGAGGTGGAGACGGAGGTTTACTGTCTATACGAAATCGGAAGATAAACGATGTCCTAACCCTAAACCTGACCATAACCCTAACCCTGACCCTGATCCTAAATCTAACCCTGACCCTATACCTAACCCTGACCCTAACCCAGACCCTGACCCTAAACCTAAACCTAAACCTAACCCTAACCCTATACCTAACCCTGACCCTAACCCTGACCCTGACCCTGACCCTAACCCTAACCCTAACCCTAACCCTGACCCTAAACCTAACCCTGACCCTAACCCTAACCCTGACCCTAATCCTGACCCTAAACCTAACCCTAACCCTGACCCTAACCCTGACCCTCATCCTGACCCTAACTCTGACCCTAACCCCAACCCTAAACTTAAACCTAACCCTAACCCTGACCCTAACCCTAACCCTAACCCTGACCATAATCCTAACCCTGACCCTAACCCTAACCCTGACCCTAACCCTGACCCTAACCCTGACCCTAAACCTAACCCTGACCCTGATCCTAAATCTAACCCTGACCCTATAGCTAACCCTGACCCTAAAACTAAACCTGACCCTAAACCTAACCCTGACCCTGATCCTAAACCTAACCCTGACGCTAACCCTGACCCTAAACCTAATCCCGACCCTATAGCTAACCCTGACCCTAAAACTAAACCTGACCCTGACCCTAACCATGACCCTAACCCTAACCCTGACCCTAACCATAACCCTGACCCTAACCCTGACCCTAAACCTAACCATAACCCTGACACTAACCCTGACCCTGACCCTAACCCTGACCGTAAACCTAACCCTAACCCTAACCCTAACCCTCCAGCCTTCATAATAGTGGGTTTTTTGGTTAAACTTGTTTGGACTTATTGTACAAACCTATTTAACATCCACTATTTTAACACAATATCATGTATAGAGTTTAATTCAGTGTTTACAAAATTAATTTAACTATTTTTAAACTAACCTCTATATTGCCATGAAGCCATTAGGATTTTCCTGCCTGGGATCTTCCTATTGGTGACCTGATCAAAATGGCCGACTTGGACGTTGGCTTCCCACTGACCTAAGTCCGTGTAGTCGAACTTTAGGGGGCGTGTCCAGACGGTGGCGGCGGGGCTAAGGTTCACGCCCAGACGGATCATGTGATAAAGCTGGAAGTCGGAGAAGGCCGCCGACAGGTCGCAGCTGACCGACGACACCTGAACGCACCACGGAACGTCCTGCCAGGGGTCCCTGCAGCCCCGGGGGCAGAAACCAGCCTCAGAGCCCCCCCCCAGGGGGGTATAAAAACCCCCACAACCCTCCAGGGAAAAGGGGGTTCACAGCTATCATCTAATATCCAACATGCTTTGAGTTTGAATACATTAGAGTAGAAACGTAGGAATTTAACTGGTTCCAGGACTGAGTTTGTATGTTAAATATTCGTATTTTGGTTCAAATATTCCCATCAGAATACACTGTAATTCCTGGAATTGGTTCCAAAAACCTACGATAACTCCTTAATAAACACTGGAGATAATTATATGTAAAATATTTGTATTTTGGTTCAAATATTCCATCAGAATACACTGTAATTCCTATAATTGGTTCCAAAAACCTACGATAACTCCTTAATAAATACTGCAGATAATTATATGTTAAATATTCGTATTTTGGTTCAAATATTCCCATCAGAATACACTGTCATTCCTAGAATTGGTTCCAAAAACTTACGATAACTCCTTAATAAATACTGCAGATAATTACACATAGCAATAAAACAAATGACTTCTAGAAGAGAGATATAAAAAGAAATATATTATAAAGAAATAATCAATGAAAGAGTTTTTTTAATTGATACTTATTGGTGAATGGAGGTAGAGGTGGAGACTGAGATACAGGGGGAACCAGAACTTACTCTAACTTTCACTACCTGAACTTTAAACTAACTTAGCTTATATATTTTTATTTAATTTTCTATTTTATATATTTTTTTATATGACTTTGACGTCATACATTGGGTGTCGAGTCAAATATTTGATCAAATTTCACTTCGCATGTTGGAAAATTTGTATGTTTAGGCCTCGTTCTTCTGTACACTGTAAAAAAATGTCTGTGAAATAAACATTAATATGCCATAAAATCATGACATTGAAAATCTGTAACAAGAAAAACAACGAATCAGTGTATGTTTAAGCGGAATATATTGTAAAAACAAAACAAAACAATGAATAATTATTCATTTTACAGTCAGTGTATGTGAGAAGGATTGTATTTGTTTGTAGAATTGATATACTACTGTATTATAAACATAAAGATATTTTAATACTTGAACCAACGCAATACAATTACATTTACAATATAGTAATATGAGTAATGTTAATATATAATGTTTTAAAGAACTGAAGTAAATAGTTTGCCATTTTACAAATTTGGTTGTAGTAATTTACAGTTAATTGCGTTAGGCCTAACTATGATGACATGAAGAAGTTGAGAATCAAACGTGTTTAGAACTGAGAAAATATATTTTGACCCTAATTTGACAACCAAATGGACAACTGTCTACTAAAATAAGCAGAAAAATTCAGACTGTCTCATAATGAGGCTTTTACCTTTTAATAATCCTGATTATTTACTGATTTCCAGTCAAATTGATGTAAAATAAGATACCTCCTTATGTACATTGTACAGGAAAAAATGGCTTTAATAAAGACAAAGTCATGCTAATTTGGCTAATAAAAGGGACGTTGAATTTACCAGTTTAGCATGTAATTCTTATTTTATTTTGTAAAGGATTACAGTTTTATATTGTAACATTTACAGGTTGTTTCTGTAATGTGTTTTACACTGCTGTATTTTTTACAACATTATTCTGGTAACAACAGCTGCCAGTTTATTCAGTTTTTTCCCGTAAAAGCCAGACGTTTTTTTTTTACAGTGTAAAACACCTGGATTAAAATGGAACAACGAGCTGAGGCGTCTTTATTTGGATTAAGTTGTTCCACAGAGGCTGATCGACTGTTTCCAAAGCTGATCAGATGGTTTAAACGTGGAGAATAAACACGAATTAAGCACCTTAAATCAGTCTTTAAAAAAATCTCCTGGGGTATTTCTGGGTTTCTTTAACTTTTTCTTAAATCACAAACTCTTTTTAAACCGTTCGATATCAGATTAAAAGCAAAAGCTTTGTTAGGAACGTGAAAAAAACTAAGTTTTGCACTCTGAGCTCCCAGCTTTCCATTTCCTATTTTTAAAAGTCTGTTTTTAAGCTTTCCATGCCAGGAAATCCACCTGGAAATCATAAAATCAGCCCATGGTTCTAATTTATTTACGGTAATCTGAAATCCTTTATTTTTTGTGTTCGTTTTAATAATAAAAACTTAAATGAATGCTGTTGATGAACTCATTGTCAGACGATGGGACACAAATGTTTGGATTTGACTTTATCCAGGTTTTAAAAGGCTTTTCTTTGTCTATAATCGATTGAACAGCAGTGCAACACATTTTAAAACGAGGAAAATAAGAACATAAAGGCTGAAAAGAGACAAATTCACTCGATTTTTAGCTAAAAATGTTTACTTTTTTGTACTTTGAGACCAGTTTAATGCAGCTGTCTTGTGATAAATTCTGCTTTTTTTTGTCTTTAAGGTCTAGTTTTGGTTGTAAAACTTCCAGAAAGTCTTTGAACTGCTCATGTAATTGTTTTTACACTTTTGTCCAGCAGATTTCCATCATATCCATCAGTTTTCTGTCCTTTCTGACACTCAGAAGACCCTCAAAAGTGCAAAAAAAAGTGTGTAATTGTGACCAGACTGAGGACTAACCGTGGGGGTTAATAAACGAAAGGCGGGGCCTCACCCCTACGTCTTGGTATATATATATATATATATATATATATATATATATATATATATAGTTTTGTGCAAATGTCCTGTGATAAATTCTGCTTTTATTTTTGTCTTTAAGGCCTAGTTTTGGTTGTAAAACTTCCAGAAAGTCTTTGAACTGCTCATGTAATTATTTTTACTCTTTTTTCCCAGCAAATCTCCATCAGTTTTCTGTCATTTCAGACACTCAGAAGACCCTCAAAAGTGCAAAAAAAAGTGTGGAATTGTGACCAGACTGAGGACTAACTGTGGGGGTTAAATAAGAAAAGGCGGGGCCTCACCCCTGCGTCTTGGTATATATAAATATATATACATATATATATATATAGTTTTGTGGAAATGTCCTGTGATAAATTCTGCTTTTTTTCCCTATAAGGTTTTAGTTTTGGTTGTAAAACTTCCAGAAAGTCTTTGAACTGCTCTTTTTGCCCAGCAAATCTCCATCATTTCCCCCAGTTTTCTGCCCTTTCTGACGCTCGAAAGACCCTCAAAAGTGCAAAAAAAAGTGTGTAATTGTGACCAGACTGAGGACTAACTGTGGGGGTTAATAAAAACGAAAGGCGGGGCCTCACCCCTGCGTCTTGGTCTGCACGCTGTAGCTGGCGTTGGCACGGTAACAATCCCACCGCAGGAGGCAACTTAAGTCCAGCGACTCCACCGCGGCGTGGCAGACTGACCCGGCCGACCCTGAGAGGTTCGCACGCCACCAGGAAACGGAAATAGACACACACACACACACACACACACACACACACACACACACACACACAGACGCTCGTTAGAGCTGAAGGGAACCTCACTACTGGGTTAACCCTGTAATGCCAAATGTAAATGTATCATATTTGATTCATACGGTTTCTGAAATGTTTTGCGTCTGACACCTTTTGCTTAATTTAATGGTAAAAATTTTGCTCAAAATCCTATTGTACACAATCAGATACACCTGATAACAGGGGGCAGAAGACTACACAAAAAATAATCTTGACTTATCGCATAGTAATAAATTATTAAGATCAAAAATGTATTTCAGTTTTTTCTCTTTACATATTTTGTTAAAAGGCCAAATAAGGAATTCAAACCAAAAAAAAGTGCAGGAGAGTAGTTGTTGGAAATTGGAGATGGTTCCCCAACCCTATAATGCCAAATGCATCATATTAATCCAGTTAATTGAGAATATATTAGTCAATTATATATCTAATTATGCGTTTAATTATTAATTTCCAATCTTCCTTAACCCTATAATGCCAAATGTGTCATATTTGATTCATACGGCTTCTGAAGTCTTTTGGATCATTCAGTGGTAAAAGCTTTGCTCAAACCCCTGTTGTACACATTCAGATATACCTGATAACAGCCAGTAGAAGACTACACCAAAATATATTTTTGACTTGAATAATTCCTATTTTTTTTCTTCATATGTTGTTAAGGGACCAAAAAAAGACTTCAGACTAAAAAAAATCCAATATTCTTCCTTTTTTTTTCTTGGATCGGGCTTTAAAGAGTTAAATGAAAGGCACTCACCTCTGATGACCAGGGAGACGGTCAGACTCAGCTCCATCACCACCATCATCGCCACGGCCGCCCTACTGAGCATGTGCGGGAGAGAGAGAGAGAGAGAGAGAGAGAGAGAGAGAGAGAGAGAGAGAGAGAGA